TGCACTGAGCACTGCTCTGTGTAACTGTGTGTGTCAGAGCTGCACTGAGCACTGCTCTGTGTAACTGTGTGTGTCAGAGCTGCACTGAGCACTGCACTGTGTAACTGTGTGTGTCAGAGCTGCACTGAGCACTGCGCTGTGTAACTGTGTGTCAGAGCTGGACTGAGCACTGCTCTGTGTAACTGTGTGTGTCAGAGCTGGACTGAGCACTGCGCTGTGTAACTGTGTGTCAGAGCTGTACTGAGCACTGCGCTGTGTAACTGTGTGTCAGAGCTGTACTGAGCACTGCGCTGTGTAACTGTGTGTCAGAGCTGGACTGAGCACTGCTCTGTGTAACTGTGTGTGTCAGAGCTGCACTGAGCACTGCTCTGTGTAACTGTGTGTGTCAGAGCTGTACTTTTCAATTTCAAATGTACAATTTCCAAAAATTCTACATGATTAATTTGCTTGAGTGAGAGCTTAGCTGGAACACAGTCCAGCAGATACCAGGACAAGCAGGGGCAGAGAACGGCTGATGAGCGCGTGTGTGATGCAACGGGTCATACCTGGGGGGCTGTCCTGCCCGTTGGCCCAGTTAGGACGGCCAGGGTTCTGGTCCAAACCAGTTTTAGAGGGCTTAGACCCAGAGCTGTGGGGATCTGGGAGGGAGACACAGAGGGAGAGTAAGGTAAATAATCCTGCATTTCTTTTTCTGTAAACCTGTGGAAGCGCTCGTTCTGTTTGGCGATGGAGGAGAGTGAGCCTCGCACGTCACTGATTTCCCAAACCCCTAGACCCTGGCTCGAACCCGTAACCTGTAGACTGTGGAGCTCTCCCTTCCCCCCTCCCTCCACCTGCTGGGATCTCCAAAGCCCTCGCCATCTGGGTCTGGCAGAACTGCACGGAACTGCAGGCTGGGTGTTCAGAGACAGGTACACTAGCAAGGAGAACTGGGGGACAGGTTTATAGACACGGCCGTCCTGCTCGCTTATTCCCCTGTTCCTTCAGTCTTTCATCTCTCTTTTCTGGGTCGTTGGGGAGGAGATAATTTATCTGTTTATTCGCACAGGGAGTGTTCTCCTCTTTCCCTGTAACAGCGAGTGTGAATCTTAATAAGGAACTGGGTAACTGATGAGCTGGGAGACAGAGAGGGGGAGAGAGTGAAGGAATAATAGAGGCTGAGGGAATGAGAGGGTGAGGGTGTGAGGGGATGAGAGAGGATGAAGGAATGAGAGAGAGAGGTGAGGGGATGAGAGAGAGAGAGGGTGAAGGGATGAGAGAGAGGGTATTTGCTTTGGCAACACTGATTGTACCCATTGGTCATGCTAATAATGCACCTTGAATTGAAAATTGGGTGAGGGGATGAGAGAGAGAGAGGAAGAGATCAAGAGAGAGAGTTAAAGACTGAGAGCAGGGTCAGAGAGATTGGAGAGGGCAAACAAAAGAGATCTGGAATATTAGAGCCATTTCTCAAACCCAGCACACCAAACTAACTGCATCTCGCTGTCTCATTGATGAACACAAAGTGTTGCATTACTGCTGGCCATAGACACGCACTGGCTCATACTGACAGACAAGACACACCGAAACACACACAGAGAGACGCACAAGACACACCGAAACACGCAAAGAGAGAGACGCACAAGACACACGGAAACACACAAAGAGAGAGACGTACAAGACACACAGAAACACACGCAGAGAGACGGACAAGACACACAGATACACACACACAGAGACACGTAAGACATACAGATACACAGAGAGAGACGTAAGACACACTCAGAGACACAGGTACACAAGCACACAGAGAAACAGACCCCGGAGGGTCACTCTTTCCACTCACTTTGTCCCACTTTGAGGACCACCTTCATGCCCCGGGTCAAGCAGGAGCCCCCCTTCATGTTCTCCAGGCCCTGCCGTGTCCCGTTCGAGGTGGCTGCACAGAAACACACGCAGAAACACAGTCAGACATTCCGCCTCAGCCTGAGACACAGCACAGAGCAGCACTGCTGGAGCAGGAGAGAGGAGGGAGGAGACGAGGACAGAGGACAGAGGACAGAGGAGATGAAGGGAGAGAGGAAATACTGTAGGAGGGGGAGAGAGGAGAGTGGAGATGAAGGGAGAGAAGAGAGAAGAGGGGGGAGAGGAGAGAGGAAATGAAGGAGAGAAGACAAAGGGAGAGGAGAGGGGTGAGAGAAGAGATGGGGGAATAGGAGAGAGGAGGGGGGGAGGAACAGACATGAAGAGAGGAGATGGGGTGAGAGGGGAGAGGAGAGGGGTGAGAGGAGACAGGAGATGAAGGGAGAGGAGATAGGAGAAGAGAATTCTATACGTGATAAACACATTCAAAGGAGGCATTCAGGCGATTTACAGAGAGATTTTCCAGTAATTAGCATCTGCTGACATTTACACAGTGTGTTTTTATGCTGTTTTCAAGGTGACACAAATCGCAGGGAAGGACAAACAAACAGACCCGCCGGCGGAGGGAGGAGGCCTGGGTGCGAGCCTGCAGCAGGGGCCAGGGCGCCAGGGGCCGCAAGGAGGGGAGCCAGAGCCCCCAAAAACCCCCCCCCCCCCCCCCCCGGCCTTGTCCGAGCCCAAACACCTACTCCTCCAGACCTACTGTCCCACAGCACACGCGTGTTGTTCCTGTTGCTCATGTCTGTAGTGCTCTGTGTACACTGTGTGCTGGTGTCTTCCCGAGAGATCCAGTGTGCACGCAGACACGGCAGTAAACCCTCTGCTCTTCCTGTGTGTAAGAGTGAGAAATCTCCAGGGAAGGTTTCTCCCTCCTGCTCCGGGCGACGGAGTCGTTTCTCAAACACCTACACCCCCCCCGACGACTGCGCCACCACCCAAAATAACACAGCGCCTCGCAAAAATAAAACTCCCAGCCACAGACGTGTCTGTCACACCTCTCCCCCTCCTGCCTCTTCCGGACGACCCAGTTTCGAGCAAGAGGGAGCGCGCGCGCGTGTGTGTGTGTGTGTTTTCTAGGGAGAGATGGGGCCTGGCTCATCCTGCTTCACGCGCTGAGGAAGAGGAGAATGCAGCACTCTTCCTCCTCGCTGCCTCCTGTGCCTTTTCAAACACGCTCCTCTC